GAAATTTCATCCAATTTTCCCTATTTTAGTTGAACTATCGTATCAGCTCTTACCTCAGCAATGGCAACAACTTCATCTCCTGGAAATTGGTGAAATCTGAAACCAACGTAGTAGTTAATTTGTCCATAGACGCTCCATGTTACAATTGAAACATTACATTTTGAAGGAAATGATAGTATTGTTAAGAAAATGATAGTATAAAATATAAATTATACATCCCAAGGCTAACAGTAGCTGAAGCTAGTTAATGTTACATGATGGGAAGTGTTGGATTTTATTTATTTTTCCTTGTAGGACATGAAATGTGTTATTCCTTAATAGTTTATGTCCAGCCTACCAAAAACTAATAACTAACATAAAACATAATCATTACTTCATTAGGTTAACCAAATTATACATCATCATCATTTCATAATTATTTTGCTAATCCACACATTAAAAAAACAAATACAAAACGTACAAAAATCCAAACTTTAACCCTTTCTCAATCTTCCACATTCTCACAAAATAAACATTAAGTAATACAAACCCAAAGTTCAATACATTCTAAATGGCATTAAATAAACCAAAATTTAACCTTTATCCATTTCATTTTCATGGTTTAAGTCAGCATTAACAGTTATCAAATTCAATTTCCCTACTTAAGCTACACTCTCCAACTTCTATAAATCCATATTTTTTCTCTTTCTTCTAATAAACTCATATCGTTGAGGTTGTATTTGTTGTAATATTCCTTTCATTGTCTCACTTTTCTCGTTTAATTAATGGAAACCTTGCATGAGTTTTTCTTCGACCCTTTCAACTTTGGTAGTTCTATCTAAAGTTTTTTGCTTTAGCCAAACTATCATATCAGTTCTTGCCTCTGCTATGGCAACAACTTCATCTTTTGCAAGAGAAAAGGTTATAATCTCTTCCCGTTCCTTTTCTAATGCAACCTCAGTAGCAACTTTTTGAGAACTAATCTCATGGAAATTGACGAAAGCTGAAACCAACATAGTAGTTAATTCGTCTATAGACTCTCTATGCTGCAATTGAAACATTGCATTGGTTAGGAAACGATAGTATTTTTAAGGAAACAATAGTATAAAAATATAAATTATATTACAGACTTTCAATGACCATTTGTATCTCTTGTACAAAGGGGGTCATAGTCATGCACAGGGTGGTCTTGGTCATACATAAGGGGGTCTCGGGCAGCCCTAGGCTGACGGTAGCTGAGGCTAGTTAATGTTACATGATGGGAAGTGTTGGATTTTATTTATTTTTCTTTTTTGGACATGAAATGTGTTATTGCTTAATATTTTTTGTTCAACCTACTAAAAACTAATAACTAATATAAAACATAATCATTACTTTATTAGGTTAACCAAATTACACATAATCACCCTTTTATAATTATATTGCTAATCCACATATTAAAAAAACAAAAAGTCAAAAATCCAAACTTTAACTCTTTCTCAATCATCCACATTCTCACAAAATAAATATTAGGTAATATAAACCCTAAGTTCAATCATTTCTAAATGGCATTAAAAACCCCAAATTCAACCTTTATCTATTTCATTTTCATGGTTTAAGTCAGCATTAATAGTTACAAAATTCAATTTCCTTACTCAATATACACTCTTCAACTTCTATAAATCCATATTTTTTCTCTTTCTTCCAATAAACCCTTATTGTTGAGGTTGCATTTGTTGTAATATTCCTTTCATTGTCTCACTCTTCCCACTTACTGAATGGAAACCTTGCATGAGTTTTTCTTCGACACTTTCAATCTTGGCAGTTCCATCCAACTTTTCTTGCCCTACTCGAACTATTGTATCACCTTTTGCCTTTGCAATGGCAACAACTTCATATCTTGCAAGATTAATGGTTGTGATATATTTTTGTGCCTTTTCTAACGCAATCTCAGCAGTAACTTTTTGAGAATTAATCTCCTGGAAATTGACGAAAGCTAAAACCAATATATTAGTTAATTTATCTATAGACGATCCGTGTTGCAATTAAAACATTACATTGTGAAGGAAATGATAATATTATTAAGGAAACGATAATATAAAATTATAAATTATATTACGGACTTTCACTTATCAACTGTAGCTCTTGCACAGTGAGGGGTCTTGGTCATGCACTAGGGGGTCTAGCACAACCCAAGGTTGATGGTAGCTCAGGTTAGTTAATGTTATATGATGAGAAGAGTTGGATTTTATTTATTTTTCCTTGTAGGACATGAAATGTGTTATTTCTTAATAGTTTATGTCCATCCTACCAAAAACTAATAACTAACATAAAACATAATCATTATTTCATTAGGTTTACCAAATTACACATTATTACCATTTCATAATTATGTTGCTAATCCACACATTAAAAAAACAAAGAAAGAAAGACAAAAATCTATCTTCTACATTCTCACAAAATAAACATTAAGCAATACAAACCCAAAGTTCAATCATTTCCAAGTGGCATTAAAAAACACAAAATTTAAACTTTATCCATTTCATTTTCATGGTTCAAGTTAACAGTTACCAAATTTAACTTCCCTACTCAAGCTACACTCTTCAACTTTTATAAATCCATATTTTTTCTCTTTCTTCTAATAAACTCCTATTGTTGAGGTTGCATTTACTGTAATGTTCCTTTCATTGTCCCACTCTTCCCCCTTACTGAATGGAAACCTTGTATAAGTTTTTCTTTGACACCCACTTACCGCACTACTTTACTCTTCTCTACCCTCTAAGTTCTCTTTCTCTAGCTAACACTTTTGACACCATATTCTCACTTTTTCACTCTTTTTACAACGGTAAAACTCACCCCTATTTATAGATTCTAGTGGCCATTAGATTGTTGACATATGTCAATATTTTAGTCATTTAATATTACAAATATATGATTCTTCTAATAGATAATTTTGAATATAATATTAAATATTACAAATATCTAGATTTTTATATGGACATTTCTACACATCTATAATTTCGATATTATTCTAGAGTATTCTTAATATATATATATATATATAAACTAAAATAACACAATAATTTGCATTGTCCTTTAACAGTGATATTGAGAGCAACCATTCCAAAGCATTGCTCATCATCTTCAAGCTTGTTTCTTCAACTTAGGCGTCGATTTTTGAGCTCGATAAGACAATGTAAGCGATGAAAAGGGTCAAAAGAAGCTCATCGAGAAGTGAACCCATTGTCAAAAACGAGCTGCAGAGGTTTGTTGAAGAAGGGGTTGTAGTAGTGTGTAATGAAAGTAAGGTTTTAAGTGTTTGGTTTACAATAGTGCTTTTTAACAATGCCTCCCTCCATTAACGTGAGCTTCGATTCCAGGGCCAATCAGAAAAAGTTGTCATCTTGTGTGTATGAGGGTTTACTGTCTTAAATTGGTTTCTAACCGTTGATTTTTTTTTTTTTATGTTTGTGGGTATATAATAATTTGCTTAATCAAAGTTCGTTGAAGTATAATGTTTAGTACTTTGGAAAGTGGCATATGATAGCAAGACATGGTGCATATGGGACGGATGCATGATGCGGAAGGACATAGTTGTCGACTAGCGCTAGTTATATATGGTTGGATTAGATTGGACCACTTGATTCCCTCCTAATTATTTTTGGGTACAACCCTCAAGTGAGTTTGGATAAAAAAATATCATCAAAATAAATAATATTTTACGAAATGATATACTATATCTAGTTTAAGAGCATTTTTCTCAACCCTCAAAGTATTGTCTTACAGTAATTTTTAGCCTTCAATTTTTGAGAATCTCATTCCTCCTCTTACCTTTAGATATTTAATAATTCATGTCAAATTGGGTAAAATTGCTTCAAATATAAATAAACTATTTTCAAACTTTCTTTTAAAACTTATTAAAAAGTAATATAATACATATAATAAAAGGTTTCTATATTATATTTTATATGTTTCTTTTAATTTTATTAACTTTTGACAGGGAATATAGTCTACTAATCCCTTTCTAATTTCGTTTTTGCGTAAAAATTTAATGTTTAAATTAAAATTGATATTTTTAAATAATATAAATATATTGTTTTTTAATTTGATTGACACACAGATTTAATTTTTTTGCATTATTTTCTTAATACATAATTTTAATAACAAGTCATTTTTCATAAAAGTTAAACATAATAATAGATTTGATCGATAATGTTGGGTTTTTTTTTTTTTGTTACTTTGGTCTTCTTTTGTCTTGTGTGGTCTCATGGTATTACAACATATATTATATATAATGTTAGAAATGACCATCCAGCTCAGTTAGTAGAGCACAATGTTCTTAACCTTGAGGTCGTCGGATCGAGACACATGGAGGGCATTTCATAATTTGGAGGTCTCATACGGAAGCTGCTCTCAACCTAATGTTGGGGGCAGCCTACTATCTTACCTCCCCCTTACCCCATTACATATGGGAACAAGAGACAACCATTATATATAATGTTACTTAAATTTAAATAATCTAAATAAATATTCCACCTTTTATTTTTAAGATTGCTTTTTTATATTCTTATTAACTTAAACATATCTAATTTAATTTAAAATTTTAGAGCTTAAAATGATACTAAAATAATTTAAATTTATAATAAATGGATCCAAAAATTTAAACTATAAACTCAAATTCAAAATATAGAAAATCTCAAAATAATTTAAACGGAAAGAACCTAAAATCATCTACTCAAATTTACCCAACTCGGTGCACACATTACCCGTCCAATTGATAGACGCAGAGCACGTGAGTCGTGAATAACTCGGCATCCGGTTTCCCTAAGGCTGGGCCTTTTCTCGAGTTGGCTTAGCAGACTTTACCCAAAGTGCACGCTAGATATGAGATGGATTCAAAGCCCGCTCATGGTTGTCAAAACCAACCAAATTTAGCCCAACTCGGCTACAAAAGGAACCCAACAGAACCTCTCCATGACTAACGACTCAAAGCGGCAGGAGCGGGCGAGGGAGGGAACGAGCGAGACGAGAGGGAGGGAGAGGGATATTCTTCTGCAAATTTTAGGGTTTTTGGTTGGATTGGTCAGGTCAGTGAGCGCCAACAAGGGAAGATGATAACCACAACCATTCTATAATTCCAGTCGATTACTACTACAATTGATCAGCTGTTTTTTTAAAAAAATTAAAAATTTGCTTCTTTTAAATATATATGTATATATAAAGATAGTCAATTTGATTTCGTATTTGGCGATGATTGTGTGTGAGAAAGAGCGCGTGCTTATTATTTGCAGGAAGAGAAAGAGGAAGAGACAGTGTGTGAGAGAGATTTATTAAGAGAGGATCTTTGTGAGGGTGCTCTGGTTTTGAGTGTGTTAAAGATTTCGACGATTTCTCATTTCTCAGCTCAAGCTCTTCCATTTCGCTATGGAACGGAAGCTAGTGGTAAGTTTCCCGTTCTTAATTTTGTGAAAGATTAGGTTTTTGTTACTGTGATTTTTTTTATTTTTTTTATTTTGATTAATTTTCCTTTTCTAGGTTTTGGGAATCCCGTGGGAGGTGGACACTGAAGGTTTGAGGGAATATATGAGTAAATATGGTGATTTGGAAGATTGTATTGTCATGAAGGTTTTCCCTTTTTTTATTTTCTCATTTGTTTATCTATATTTTCAACGATTGTATTGTACTGGAGGATTGTGGAAGCTTCAAATTTTTTTATACGTAGAAAAAAAATGTAATTTCAATCACTTAACTAGCACGTTATTTTTATGTAGGAAAAAAAGTGTAATTACTTGTTTTTCTTATGTTTTTCATTGGTATCAATGTTCTTTTTTCATTGTTTAGGAGCGGTCCACAGGCCGATCTCGTGGTTTTGGTTATGTGACATTTGCATCTGCTGATGATGCTAGGGTAATCATTATCCCTAGTTCCCTATCTCCCACGTTTTTTCTTTCCCTTAACCTTAAACCATGTGATAAAAAATAATGCTTGTGTTTATTTTCCACAGCGTGTGCTATCCAGAGAGCATTTTCTTGGGGAGAGAATGCTGGAAGTTAAAATAGCTACTCCAAAGGTTTAACATAAGCTTCAGTAGATGCCTTTTTATTTGAAAATTCTTTTCGGTTAACTAGTTTTTTTATCAATAGCATCATTTTTGTCATATTGACAGGAGGAGATGAGAGCACCTGTAAAGAAAGTAACCAGGATATTTGTGGCCAGAATTCCACCGTCTGTTGATGAATCAACCTTTCGGAGGTAAGCAAGTGCAGTATATGATCATCATGGCACTGTTGTCTTTTTTACTTTTTGCTCTTTATTCTCTGAACATGATTTGTCGACTCTACTCAACATAACAATGGCTTTCTTTGTTTGAGCTATCTAATCATATTCAATGGGTAAAGAGAAAAATAAGGACTTGTTTTGTCAGCTATGTGAGGAATTAACATAACAATCAATATATTCTTGTTCACAGTCATTTTGGGGAGTATGGTGAGATAACAGATTTATACATGCCAAAGGTTCTCTCTCTCTCTCTCTCTCTCTCTCTCTCATGTGTCTATGTTATGCTTATGGCTGCGTGTAGCCGTATTAGCTTTCTTGTTGGAACTTTTTTAGATTATTATTAAGCACGTGTTTCACAGGATCAAGTCTCAAAAGCACACCGTGGAATTGGCTTTATCACCTTTGCTAGTGCAGGTCAGTTTATCTTCTGCCTGGCTTAGCACCTTTCAGTTAATTGTCTGCATCAAATGGTTTGCATGTTTGCGTTTGACCTTTGGGATATTTTATTTGGTGTCTTCAAGATTAAAGTTCTACAAGCTATATTCTTGTCTGTTTTTCCAATTGAAAATCCTAGTTGTGCAGTTAATGATCACCTCTTACTTGTTCGAAGTAAAGTATATATACTGGTTCTTTTCCTCCTCTCCTGTTATGTCACAGTTAGATACTTGTTTTACACGTACAGGTTCTGTGGAGAATCTGATGGCTGATACTCATGAACTAGGAGGTGCTACGGTAGTAGTTGATCGAGCAACACCCAAGGCAAGTCACATCACAGCCAGTGCCTTTTTGTTTTTAACAATTTACCTGTTTTACCAGCCAAAAGCTCCAAGGACCTTGTAGTACAGGAAAAAGCGCAATTTGGTTTTCATATTTTATTCCCCTGGAAATTTCACATAGATACTCAATATACGTGGGTATAATATCGCTATTTTGATATTATGTTGACAGGAAGATGATTTCAAGCCTGCAGTCCGAATGTCACAGGGGGGATATGGTGCATATGATGCTTACATTTCTGCTTCGACTAGATATGCTGCAGTTGGTGCTCCTACCTTGTATGACCATCCTGGCCCAATGTATGGAAGTAAGTTCCTTTCCTACCAGGGATTTGATTTCCGGAATTACATTTTTCTTATGTTGGGATTTTCCCCCTTTATGTTGAACTAGGAGGGGAGTCCAGTCGTGGGATGGGAAAAAAGATATTTGTTGGCAGGCTTCCCCAGGAGGCTACTATTGATGATCTGCGCCAGTATTTTAGTAGATTTGGTCGAGTAGTAGATGTTTATATTCCCAAGGTAAAAGTATTACAATGTCATTTAGAAAATTCGAGATGAATTGAAGCCATCTGATGAAGGTTTGGATGCTCTTCTAATGTAGGACCCCAAAAGATCTGGTCATCGAGGTTTTGGTTTTGTAACTTTTGCTGACGAAGGAGTTGCAGACAGAGTATCTCGTAGGTCTCACGAGATTTGTGGACAACAGGTACATGTAAACAAGATAGTTTTTTTTTTTTTTTGGAGTAAACAAGATAGTTAAATCACGTTAACTAGTCCTCTCTGGTTCACAATTTTTCTAAGGATTGAAGACATATTATATGTTAATAGGCAAGCGGGCCTGACCATCTACAGTTATGCTCCTTTTGTTTTAGTTGTTCTTTCTACCATATATTCTCTGTGAAATGCAATCAAAATGTCATAACTTATGTTGATTTAAGCTCTTATCATTTTACGTCTAAACTTGCTTCTCAGGTGGCAATAGATTCAGCAACGCCTGTTGATGACGTTGGCCCTAGTTTCATGATGAATCCTATTGGACCATTTAGAGGTTTTGGTGGTCCAATTCGCCCCTTCGGTAGGATGTATGGTGGCATGCATTTTGATGATGTGAGTATAAATACACACACACATACTGGAAACAACTTAAAACAATTAACTTGCGACTTGGGTTCACTTTCAAATAAAAGTGAGCAAATTTTGAAATTTACCCATTTCTACTAGGAATATCAATCTTCCTTTATTAAACTGTTTAATTTATTATGTATTTCTATTTCGCAGTGGGGTTATGCCTTTGGGAGTACAAGGCCATCAAGAGCAGACTGGCGGTACCGGCCATACTAAGTGGCCTTGGAATAGCTTCGAAATTCTTCCTCGGATGTCAACTGTTGAACTATCTCGATTACTACCCTGATATCATCGTCAGTAATTCTGATTATAAAACCATGTCATGTGAGCTATGCTTTTCATGTGTAGCAAATATTCAAATTTAATTATCTAATTAATGTTAAAAATCGTGTGGTACTCCGTCTTTACCAAACTTTGGATCTTAAATATCGATTGCTGAACATATATGCAAATACTTGATCGTTGATAAATGGAGGTTGTCTCTTTGTAAAACTGTAAAGCAATATATAAGACCAACCTATTCTAGTTAGTGGACATTGAAGATGTCATAGTCGGAGATGAGGTCGGGTTTGATTCGGCAAAAGGGAGAAAAGGGTTGGGGATTGCTGATGTTCAATTGGGGATTTCAGTGAAGGAGCTCGAATTGGCAAAAGGGGGAAAGGGAAATGAAGGGTTAGGGATTGCTGAGGAATTGGAAATACAATCGGGAAATTGGGGATTGTAGAGGATTTGGGGAAATATTCTGAAGTAATGGAGCACGTGAGGAAGCCCAGTACTTATGGGAATTACCAAGCCCGATTGAAGAGTCCATCTAGCCTCATTGAGTTTGTTAGAGAAAAGGACAGCCAGCTGACACCTTTAGATTTGGTACCATGTAATCAAATAAGATCGTGTACCCTCGTGAGAAAACTATGAATGAAATTATGTTGTTGATTTCTTCTTGAGTCAAGAAAATTAAAATATGTTGATGATTTCTTTTAAAATCTCTTTAGAAAATTATGAATGAAAATATGTTGTTGATTTCTTCTTCTAAAACCTCTTTTTCTAGTCTTTTTTCTCTTTTCTTAAATGCTACTTCCAATCCATAACAACTTGATATCAAGAGCCATTCTTCCTGGCATATTGATATCGAGGTATGCCATCAAAGAAAAACCAAACAATGATCGAATCTACATATCTGTTTGTTCTCCAAAAGCAGATTGAAGATCTAACGACACTAGTAAAACAAGCAATAAATATTAAACAGAGTGAACGAATTACCATCTTGGAGAATCGGATGAACACTATCCAAGGCTATGTTGAGGAGGTTTTGAAGATTCTGACCGGAAAGAATGGGGACCAAGAGCAAACTGCTTCTGAGAATGAACATGTATAAAACACTACTTATCCGAAATCTACTAGAAAAACACCTGTTATGGTGACTCTTATTAATGGCAAATCTCGTTTTTCATATAAAATGGATGAGCCTGGTATCTTGAAATCGAAACCTGATGAAGTTCATGCTAGCTCTCTTGTTTTGAAACTTGATAATCAAAGAGGGGATTATAGTGGTACTAAGCTGTATCTAGATGAAGGTGGAGATGGAAGAAAAGGGTTAGGAGGATCCTCTAGTAATTTTGGTTCGATGATACCTAAAGTTAAATATGTGAATTGAATTCATCAAATAATTTTAATGATTAAAAAGAGTGATTTTTTTGAAAATTTCGAATTTGATTAATGATACTTGTAAGATGTATAATATTTATTATCAATTAATTAAAAAATTTCAAATAAATATTATTTTATTATTATTTCATACTAATAAATATGTTGACTGTGAACTACTCAAACCAATTATTACTTTCAATGGTATTTAATAGTTAAACCGATTCTAGCCCATATACTTTTTTTTGAAATAGGGTAGTTTGTAATTTTAGCCCATATTAAAAACGAATATAATAAAATCGGTATGAATATGACAGAGATTTACGCTAATAGCATTTAAACACCCAGGAACTTTAATTTCTCGCCCAACAAACAGCCTCCTCTACCAAAAAAATGAAAAAAATATTTGAAGTGGAAGATATATTTTAATAAAATAAGATTGACCACATAAACGTGAACATGTGTAAATGATATTCATCCCATGATAATGCTGTTGGAGTGTCAGATACCGCCACGTGGCTTCCAGTGCATGTCGCATCGCACTAGTAGTTCAGGTTCATGAGCGAGCGGTTTCGAATTTTTGAATCATTTTCTCCTTTGTCCTTCCCTAAGAGCACTTGTTCAGTTTTCCTATCTGGAAATCTGTTCGTTTTGCTGTATTTCTTGCCTTCATAAACCAGAAGTTGTTTTCCTTTAATAGAAAGAAAAACCAAATTTTGTTTATTTAAATAACCAACAAGGCCTTGTAAGTTGAAAAAGGAAAGCTTCCTTCCATTTTGGTGAAGCAACAATGGCTACAACTTTGTTTCGTAATCCTTCGGCAACTGTTTTCACAGGAATCCAGTTTCCAGTTTCCATTTCCATGTATGTTTCAATAGAATCCTCGCCTTGTTTGCACTGTAATTACAGTCTTAGAAGCAGAGCAAGTAAGCAAAACAAGGGGATTTTACAAGTCAAAGCTACACTGCAGATGGTACCCAAAGTGTTTCAAAGACTACTGAGAAGAACGAATTTGATGGGAACCAAGTCGAGGAGGAGAAGAAGAAGAAGCTGAGGGTATTGGTTACTGGGGGAGGTATTGGGGGTTTGGTTTTTGCATTGGCTGCAAAAAGGAAAGGTTTTGATGTGGTGGTGTTTGAGAAGGATTTAAATGTTATAAGGGTGCGTTTGGTTCACGGAAGGTAAGATTACCAGGGAATAAAAGATTAACAAGAAATATGATTATTGGAATGTTGTATTTTGCGTTTGGTTGGTTTAGCAGGAATGTAAGATTATCGTGTTTGGTTAAAAGAATAAAAGATTTTTGGAATATATATTTGATTAAATTGTCCTTATTATATATTTGTATAATATTACAAATTATAAAATATTTATATATTTTCTTTAAAAAATTAAATTCATAATATTTATATAATTTGTTTTACAAAATTAAAAATATAAAAAAAGTTTAATGAAAGAGTAATTTTTTTTAACCACTGAATTTCATATAAAATTTTAATTATAGATTTTTTTTTTTGTAAATCTAAAATAATTTAAGGATAAATTTGTAATTTAACCTTCGTAGAATTTTTATTATTCAATGACAGAAGAATGATATTTTTGAAAAAAAATAAAAATTTAAAACCATTTTAGTCCAAAACGCGGTAATGTTACAATACCTAAGGGAAGGGAAGTAATGACATTCCCGGTAATATACCCAAAAAATCTACTATTGATAATAAAACATTACCGAGAATGAGATTCTCGGCTAACCAAACATGAGAATGTGGGATTCTCTCCCACAATCTTTGAACCAAATACCCCTAAGAGGCGAGGGGCAATACAGGGGTCCAATTCAGATTCAAAGCAATGCATTGGCTGCTTTAGAGGCTATTGACATGGAAGCTGCAGAGGAAGTTATGGAGGCTGGTTGCATCACTGGAGATAAAATTAATGGCCTGGTTGATGGGGTTTCCGGAACTTGGTTGTTAATGATTCTTGCTGTAAGTTTTCTCTTTTCCTCGTAACTGTTGAAACTATTCAAACAAAGATTAGACCCCAGAAAGTAGAGAATTTGTAGATGCTATGGAGTTGAGGCTCATGTGGTGAACTACTAGGAGAGGCACTGTTGAAAATTTGTAGATGTTATTACACTCAATTATACATGGTTTAAACAGGTACATCAAGTTTGATACATTCATCCCTGCAGCTGAAAGGGAGCTTCCGGTTACAAGAGTTATTAGTAGGATGACTTTGCAAGAGATCCTGGCTCAAGCAGTCGGTGAAGACGTAATTTTTAATGAGAGTAATGTTGTTGATTTTGAAGATGATGGAAATAAGGTAATATGAATTGGTCATTGGTTAAGATGGTCTGTCTCCTTAACAATCATTGTAGCTGAAGGAAAGCACGAAATGTTATATTTATCAATTTCTTTTAGTATTCAGCAAACTGGTTTTACTGCTAATTAATTGTTGTTGACATTTATTTTTTGTAATTATGTAATTTAAAAGTTCAGGTCATTGTTGCTCTGGAAAATGGAAACCGTTATGAAGGTGATCTTTTGGTTGGAGCTGATGGAATATGGTCGGAGGTACAATTTTATTTAATCTATTTATACACGATGAACATAATCTTTGTCTGTTTAGATCCTAGATTGTTAGCAACCTGGTCTTAAGCTTGATTTGACAGCATGTCCCTGATGATTTGATTATCGGTTTTTCCACTATGCTGTTTCGAAGCTGAATCGGTTGCTGAAACGATAGCTACAATTGAATCGTACTCGGAAAACTCAGGTGTAGGGAAACATGAATTTACTGCAAAGAAATGGACTGTTTGACCCCTTGGTACCAACAGAAAACTGAAGTAGAAACTAATCCTTAACTCTAAAGTATAAGCTTAGGTCAACTACATGCATTCTTTTCATTTAGTTTCCCGTAATTGAGCCAAATAAAGATCTAAATGTACATGATGTTTTCTTTAGTAGTGACACTGATTGTTTGTGACAAGTTGTTTAAACCGTGAAGTGTTGAAGTGATATCTTAGTATGTGAATTCTCTTTTTCAGGTGAGGACCAACTAATTTGGGCCAACGGACGCCGTATACTCAGGCTACACTTGCTACACTCGTATTGCAGACTTTGTGCCCGCTGATATTGAATCTGTTGGGTATGTTCCATTTTGTTTTGCGAAATATGATTTACTTTACCGCTTTACATTTTGTTTTCATAATACCATTAAAATGCATTGGGGTCTTGATACTTGTATTTGCTTACCAAAACTTCACCTGTTAAGGTACCGTGTAATTTTGGGACAAGCAGTACTTTTTTTCCTCGGATGTTGGAGCTGGAAAGATGCAGTGGTATGCTTTTTACAAGGAACCACCTGGTGGTGTAGATACCAATGGTAGATAACCTTACATGTCTTATTTATTAGAACTCAGTATGTAAGCCAGCAAAAACTTTGAAGAGGCTTCAGTTGCCATGGATTTTACTTGGGTTTTCATTTCAAATGTGTACATCTGTTAAATTTTCAACAAATAAGAGTGTTCATACTGAATGTTCCCAACTTATTACAGGATTTGATTGTCGATTCTAAAACTGGTTTCTAACATTTTTGCTTTCTTTTTTTGCAGGTAAAAGGGAAAGGTTACTTGAAATATTTGATGGTTGGTGCGATAATGTGATAGATTTGTTAGTTGCTACTGCTGAAGATGCGATTCTTCGACGTGACATATATGACCGAACACCCTCTCTAACATGGGGAAGGGAACGTGT